CAAATGTCATAGAGAACTTCTGCAAAATATAAATCCAGAGTCCCAACTGAGTATTACAAGAATCAGAGTCTGTGGGAGAAGGATTGAGCCTGTACTGCACTGTAGCCGTTCTGGGGGTGTCAGGCACAGTACAACCTCGCCCTAAAGGGCAAGCTCAGTGATGCAGGCAGGAAGCTAGCCAGGTCTCTGAATTATTCTTCCCCATTCTTGTGCCCAGTGTGCCCAACAAAGCCACACTCCTGACTTTGACATTTAGCATCCATCTCAGTAGATGACCAAGTACACACTTGATGAAGATGACTTTTAAGGATTTATTTTTATTATTGTTACTTCTATGTGTATATGTGTATTTGTGTGAGTAGGTGTCACATGGATTTGGGTAACTCTCAGAGTGCAGAAAAGAGCATCAGATTCCTGGACGCTGGAATTACAGCAGGTTGGGAGCCTCCTGATGTAGGTGCTGGAAACTGATCTTGGGTTCTCTAGGACAGAAAGTGCTCTTAACCACTAAGCCATCTCTCCAGCCATAGCTCTGTAATATTTTTATAAACACTTTATTTTTCTTTAAGTTTTTTTCTGGGTGGGTGGGTGGTTATTTGTTTGTTTGTTTTAACTCAGTGTATGTGGGGGAAAGGATATGCACATGGATGCAGTGCCCTCAGAGGCCAGAAGGGGGCTTTGGATCACATAGAATTGGAGTTAGACATGTTCGTGAGCCACCAAAAGTAGTTGCTAGAGTGGTTCTCAACCTGTGAGTTGAGACCTCCAAGACCATAAGAAAACACAGTTATATTACTATTCACAACAGTAGCAAAATTACAGTTATGAGGCAACAAGGAAAATAATTGCATGGTTGGGGGTCACCACAACACAAGGAACCATATTAAAGGGTTGCAGCATTAGGAAGGTTGAGAACCACTGATCTAGATAGAAGCAAGGGCTCAAAAGTACTGGCTGGCAAACATGTATGGCAAACAAGACTTTGAGCAGTTCTGAGTTTGTTGTTGACATATAAAAGTTAAAAGGTTTCTCCTCATCATCATCCTTCTCTGTCCTTTCCTGGAAAGGTGAACATTGAAAGAACGATACAAAGCAGTCCTGTGGCCCCCCACAGTGGCTAAGGCCCAGAAGCAGAGACACCCCCTCCCCCCCCCCCCTCT